AAAATATATCAGTGCCTTTATTATGTCTCAAGATGCACACCAATAATTTTTTTTCGAAGGCACGTTTAAAAAAAAATTACTTAAATGTCCTAACCGAACTATGGCCTAATCCTGGCTTAGTCTAAGCCCTGTCTGTGAAACCAGGCCTATATCTCAAAAAATTAAGCATGTCATAATCACAAAATTAGTAAGCTTTTTATAAAAAGTAAAAAAAAAACTAATAAGCCTAATTTTCTTTTAACAAAACTATGATTATATTTTGTGCTCAAATTTATTATATTGAAAGATAATTATCATATTGTAAACATAATAATAATTGTTTTAAATTATGTTGTATTAACAACATGAACTGTGATTACATTATAAGTTGCCACAGGGTGTTCATAATGTAATACATTTCTCATACAATAACCTTTTACTTTTGTAATACAACTGCAAAATGTCTTTCAAACATTTGTTTAATGAACTTAAAAAAGACTAAAGTTAAAAAAATGTTTGCAAACAAAAATTTACAAATGTTACTACTGTTCACAATTATATCTTTAAAATGAGGCCGAAGTCACAGTTCAACTGAACTGAGTCAAGTAAACTCCAGTCACTGTATTTATATAGCGCTTTTTACAATACAGATTGTGTCAAAGCAGCTTTACAGTATTAAACAGAAAAATCATGTGTCATAGGAACCAAAACTCCAACGTTCTTCTCTGGCCAGATGAAATCAGCAGTTTAATTGCAGCAAAGTCAGATTGTGCAGAGGACTCGTCTGGTTCCCGTGGCCTTGTGCTGATGGCCGTCTAGGTGACGAGGTCTTTGGAGGGGTCTGTCTCTGGGGCTCATCTAGTTGTCACTGGCTCCTCTAACATTCAGGGCTGTAGAGGTCATCTCTAGGTGCTGATCCACTATCTGGACTGCATACGGACTGGATCCAGGTGGCTACGGTGACCTCAAAATAAGAATGAGACAGTCTAATATTAGCATAGATGCAGTGGTGGACAGTAACGAAGTAGTTTTACTTTGTTACTGTACTTAAGTACATTTTTCAAGTATCTGTACTTTACTGGAGTAGTTTTATTTTGAGTAACTTTTACTTTTACTTCACTACATTCCAAAGCATAAGATCGTACTTTTTACTTCACTACATTTCATAAAACTTATCGTTACTCCTTATAATATATCATGTGCTCCGAGACGCAGAAGCGGTGTCTGATTTATGAACGAACTGATTCTTTACAATGAACCCATTAAATCAGTTCGCAAATCGCACCAAATAATTCATTCACGAATTAGAATGATCCGATTGCAGTTGTTCTCGAGTCGACAACTCACCGATTCAAATGATCCATTTAGTGCGAGTCTCCAGTGAACTGAATTCACAAGTAAGAACCGGGAGATGTTGTGAGCGCGCGCGTCTGATGCTGTTAAAAGTAAGTTACTAATGTCGAATTTTAGGATTAATTATTGTAACTGAATATGTAAAAAATATGTAAAAATCATATTTAGATCAAAGCTGTCAGTTTTGTTAGTGAACTAAATCTACTGTAAAGGGTGATCTGTTTAAGCCCACTGAAATGCTTGAATGCAGACACATTAACATCAGAGTCTCTATGTTTTAGGTCAAAAAACATTAAAATAACACGGATTAAAGAAAATAACTCATGCACGTTCATCTCCCCCGCTGCTGTAACGTTAGCAGTTTTACTAAAATGCTATACATTTAGCCCTATGTGACATCTGTTTTTGTATTGTTTGTCAGTACACATAGCCTAAGTTACTATGTATCTGGATCAACTAGTCGAGTAGACAAATATAAATGTTTATTCATAACCATGCTGAAAATAAGTCAATAATGTTAGCTGATGCTAGCTGTCTAGCTAACGAGCTTGCTGGTGTTAAATTGAGGTAATATTTTATTATTAAAATATAAAAAATATCAAATATTTTTATTCAACCACCTAGATAGATTACATTTGAGGGAAAAAGAAAGCAACATTAATCTATCGGTACTTTT